TGGTATTTACAAAAAATCTCATAGAATCCTAGAATTTTTACATGCATGTGTATTTTATCATATCACGCCTCTAGTTAGAGCAAGAAAAGAGTGGACTATCAAAGTATAATTTGAAGTACATTAAGAAATAATAGTTGTATGAGAGTGAGGGTTAGCTCAAGTAGTCAGAGCTCCCCTCCCGATTTTAAGTGATCTTGGGATCGATTCTCATTAGCTGCCCTTGTGGCTATCGAAAATAAAATAATAATAGTCGTATAAGTGACCTTTAGTAGTGAAGATGTCGACCTGAGATAGTGTGTTAAGTCAAATCGTTGCAAATAATATTAAACGGAGGTAGTACTAGTATATCTTCAATTTATATTCTAGATCGCCCTAATTATTAATAATTAAGCCTTAATCCAATCCACATAGGCACATAGCTATATCACCTCATTTACGTTTTCTATTAAACGAATTGATGATCATAATAATATGTACTGTTTCGGTTGAAAACAATGGGACCTTGCCGAAGGTCCACTAAAATGGAGAAGACTGGATTCGATCCAAGCTGTGTTGGGCCGAAGGTTTCCTGCACAGTGAACACACGTAAACTAGCCTCGGGGGTGTTTCCGAGGAAGGCCCCTCCGATGCTAAAGTCAGTACAATGTGTAAAAAGGAAGACACTATGCAAGAGAGTTTGTAGCTTGAGGCTTTTGTGGAGTATTTCTCAATGCAAGAATGAGCATATGAATTGCAATAATCGGTGTATGAGATAATGCAAGTGACAATGTGTCTGATAGTGTATGATCTCGTATGTGATGTTATGAGATGTCCCCTTGAATGTGTTAATATGAGGGCTTTTATACCTCATCATATTTGGAGAGGTTGGGCTTTAGCCCAATTGGCTTACTTTGTGGGCTGACTTTTGACTTTTGAGCAATTGGAGAGTTGAACCTTGACCTTGGGCTTTTAATTGGATCATTTAGTGCTCAGGCCCAATTTTGACTAAATTGGACCCAAACATGTACTTTTAAGTTTTAACAATCATAGATTGATAGATACTTGGCGATTCCAAACCTGGCCTTAACCCTTAAATAAGCTCCAATCAAACAATTTCATAATTTAAGGATTTTAATTTTCAGATCGAATAATTAATGACAAGATTATTTTGGACAAAATAAATAAAATCAAATTAATCTTATAACTTTTGCCAAAGTAAGTAGATTGAAATAGGTTCTAAATATTTTATTGTTCATTAACTATTCATCGATCATTTTAACTCAAATCTTTTAAAACTTTTTAGATGATAAAAAATGAGTGATCGAGTGATCAAATTAAAATACCCCTCGAATGCACCTTGTTAATTAACTCTAGGTGAAGTCATGTATAAGAGTAGTTATAAAAAAAAAAAAACATGGGATGGCACATCACAAATCACAATTGACAAATCTTGTATTTGTGCATTGTGCATGGCGACGAATGAGGCAGTGAAATCACAGATCAACATAGAAACTACAAAATTAGACAAAGCATCTATTTCCTTTCTATAATACAACTATGTTGTTTCACATTTTCTGTCGGCTTGGCTTTGCTTTCCTTGTTATGTAGGCAAGTTCCGATCCCGGTAACCCCTTATTATTATTACTTCATTCGTTTCATATTATCTGCAATAAAGGTTTTAATACAAATTTATCGGCAAATTTTAATTTATTTGTAAGTGTTAGATGGAGAGAGAAAGATAGAAATTCGTGTGATGAGGAGAGAGAGAAAGAGAATGAAATAATAACTAAAAAAGGAAACATCCATATATGGTAAATGTTACACATAATATGAAACATAATTGAAATAGCATGCATTTTAACTTGAAGTTATGTAAACTTTAACTTTACTATTTTTCTGGAAATACTTCATTATGAATAAGTAGAAATAATAAGGTGAATCAAATAACACATTATATTAGTGAAATATTTCATATTTAGTATAGTCTGCGTTTGATTTATGTGTGAATAAAAGTTTTTGATACATATATTGTGGGATTTTTGAAAATGAGTGATAATGAAATTACTTTTGTTGTAGATGATGTTCTTCATAACCTAATTTATTATTCATTCACCAACAAAATTACATTTATATATAGCTGAAGTTCATCAATGTAATTAACATAAGATTATATAAGTTCATTAGTGAATTTAACATAAGTTTATTTAAGTGCAATGAACATGATACTGTCAAAACATGAATTAGCAAGCTCATAGAGTTTGTCATTTTGTCAAACACAAAAATTTAAGCGCATAATATATAATCTAACTCGATAGAAGATAAAAGTATTATTGTACTCATCGAACTTGTTGGTTTTTAGGATGCTCTTAAAAAAATAAAGTCAATAAAAAAACAACAAATAAGACAAAATGAGGACGATTCTCCTTTCGATTAATAATTAATAAATGAAGAATCGGTGATGAGATCTCAGAATTTTAGGACATATAAATATATATATAAGTATGTATTATGGTGGCTTAAAAAGAACACGTAAATTAGGGAATAAAGACATTCATGGGGGAACAAATGTATGTCTCATTGAAACAAATGTAGGAAGGAAGGAGGAACATAATTTAGACCTACACAAAAATAAAACATTAATAATCGTAGATGCCAACTAGTTTAGCTTCTAAAGTCGATTTTGAATTTGAGGATATGTAGTTCTCTCTATTTCATAATAATTGACATAAATTAATTAATTTTATTTACTATTCACATAGGAACTTTAACTGTACTATGGCTTTTGCATAATATGTGAAACATTTACGAAGAAGTATATATCATGCAATATGTTTTTAAATAGATGTTTATGTAAAGCTTAAAAATAGCAACTTTTTAATATTTTAATTAATGTATAATTATACTTCGTATATATTAGTGGTTAAATTCTTGCATTGGAATGTGTGTCAAATTCATGTATTGAGTATTATGGAACGAAGGGAGTAAAATCTAAGATTGAATTATATATGACTGCATAACAACTTTTGTGACTCTTTACATATATAGATATATATTTATATTTATTTTACATTTTATAATCATTTATTATTAATATTATTATTATTATTATTATTATTATTATTATTATTATTATTATTATTATTATTATTATTATTATTATTATTATTATTATTATTATTATAGCATTCCTAATCAAAAAATTTATGCAATCATTAGTTTAAAATACGGAGTACTAAAATAAAAAGAAGTCATTGTCGTCGTTGGAAAAGTTTTTTAAAAAAAAAAAACAAAAAATTTTAAAAAGAAGAGGAAACTATAAATTGAGTGATAAGGCAGGGGAAACATATAACATGCATGTTCATCCTGATATTGTCTTAAATTAAATTAACACTGAATCGTGGGGTCTCGATTTTGTCAACTCCCCATTTGTTATTATTACTATCGACCTGGATCTGTTACACTTACATACTCTCTTCTCTTCTATATACTACCTCGGTTGCATAATATTAAAACTTTAGGGATTATTTATGAGAGATAAAATATTCTAAAGTTTTTCAAAGATAATAAGAAAACATAATGACATGCATTTTATAAGACTTATTTACTCATGGTTCGTTTTTGATACATAGAAAGACATTATATAGCACAACAATGCGGCATAGACAAAATCCTATCTAGGTATTATATATTACTCCTACGATTTTTATCCGACATTTTGTGCCTTATTTTTCTCGTCGTCCTCACCATTGAAACTTACACCAATTAATTTAGGTCGTCATGGATTTAACAATAATTGAAGGAAAGTTTATGTTTGAGAGTAGAGCAAAATCATGAAGAAGTAGAGTAGAGCAATCATTGAGAAGTGGGAAATGAATATATATGAATATGAAGATTAAAAATAAATTAATTGAAAGTGATTAAATGAGTACCCTTTTATGATAATGATGCAACATGAGAGTATGTTGGTCCTTGAAGATCGGCTATCATCTTCACCCCATCTCAAGTCATTTTTGTGACTGCCCTATTTTACTTTCCTTTCCTTTTCTTTGGGCTTTTTATTTATTTATTCCATCCATATGAAATATCTTCCTTGTCTATGCATATACGAATATACGTACTTACTATTTTAAAATGTACATAATTTGTTGCGTTATAATACATTTGTTTAAAAATCTAATTTAAAAAGAATTTTAAACATGATATGATGTTTTATCATATTTCTAGTTGTTAACACTTATTTTAATGTTCACATACATTTGCTAATATATGTATACCTTACATTATTGATACAATGAACGATAGTCAAAATAAAATTAGTGAATGATATCAAAGGTTAAATTAAAGGAGTTGTAAATACTTATGTACGTGTAGTAAATAGTCATAATATGTGGCTCATTTTAAAATTGTACCCTTTCTATATAAAGTAAAGGTAAAACTCTTAAAAATCATAACCATCTAACCATGTATATCATATAATAATAATGTACATTCATTACACTAAAAAGTAGATGATACAATATCATATCAATCCAATGTTTCTAATCAAACCTTACCTTAACATACAAAATCGATCACATATAATAAAGTAGATAAAAAGATATGACATAAATCAATCGAATTCCTATAATTGAAAGGAAAAAAAAGGTCTTGGTACTTCCTATAAATCCATAATAAAATCAAATTGAACAACCCAAAAGTCTAGATATCATCTATAATCAAATTAAAATTGTAAAAGGAACATAAAAACAAAGGAAAAGGAGGTGTGTTTGTTGTATGTACTATGTTCATTTCCAAACTTAAATAAATAGGGTCCCATTCTCTGCATGTTTTCACGTGTCTTGCTATCTCTTGCCGTTAATTACACCATCATCACCATCACCCTTCTTCATTGGATTCTTACACCCAAAAAAAAAATTAAATAATTATTTTTTTTAAAAAAAATTAATTATTTTTTTTTGAAAAATATCATTTTGTTAAAATACAACCACACCCACATAGCCCTACAAGTGTAGGGCACTCCCAAATCAAATCCCATCTTTTCTTGTCATTTTCTAAGGAAATGCCCTTCACTTACCTTAAAGTGCCTCATAAATTTAGGGCATAGGTAGATGACAAAAACCCTTGATGAATTAAGGGGGCCCCTTTATAAGAGCAAGATGAAGGTCCCCTATTTTTTTGGTATTTTGTTTAAGGCATTGTAAAAATTTTAAATCAAGTGGTAAAGTTTTTTGGGTTTTTCTTAGAGAATCTATCTCACCCACCAAAAATTAAAAAAAAAAAAAAAAAAAGTATGCACAAAAGATGTTTGATGGAATGCCTGAACAGTTCTACCAATTTTTAGCAGCTGCTGCTACTACAACATCTATACCAACATCTTCTTCTAATATTCTTACTAATACTACTAATAATACTAATACTGCGGCTGCTGCTGCAGCCGCACTTTCTATTCCTTTATCATTCTCTCTTCACCACCACCAACACCAACACCGTCATGCGGCCGGTTTTCCTACATATACACAACAACCACCACCACCACCTCCGCCGGCCCCTCAGCCGACATTCGATGTTCCTTATGGCCACCTTCTACATCACCACCACCATCATCACTCGCAGTTTCTTACAAGGAATGAAGTTGTTAAAGATGAAACACTCCAACTTGACCCTACTAGGTTAGAAGATGGCGGCGAAACACAAAGATCTTCATCATCATCATCCTTAATGTTATTGCCTGAACTTCCATGGTCTAATGATGAAATGCTTGCTCTCTTCAGAATCAGATCTAGTATGGATAATACTTGGTTTCCTGACTTCATCTGGGAAAATGTCTCAAGGTATGTCATACATATTACATAATAAGTAACTCTGTAACATAACACAGTCATTATTTATAATATAATCATCTCGACAGATAATAATAAGGTTGCGTACATCTAATCCTCCCTTACTCCGAGCCAGCACTTCATTGCGCCGGCTCAAAAGGGTTGATATAGTTTGATTAATAGATCATTATTTTTGTAACGATATGATTTTTTGTTTTTTAATTGGACCCATGTTAAAATAGATTGATAGGGTAGTTTATTTGATATCATTGTTGATGAGATTCTAGCAAACTACACATGCCTAATTTCGTCATATTATTATTTTCTTTCTTTCTGTCTATCTGTAACATTATTATTTACAGCACCATATATTATTTCTGGTCCCTTTCAGTATTTAAATCATGAAATTGATACTCCATTTATATAATAGCTGTCAAAAAAAAAAAAAAGTACATACATTATTATTTTTAATCCTTTGATGTTGTTTTTTTGTGTATTTATGATGGGAGCAGAAAGTTATCAGAGATTGGATTCAAAAGAAGTGCTGAGAAATGCAAAGAGAAATTTGAGGAAGAAACTAGAAGTTTCAACAGCAGCATTATTTCTAATAATACTTGCAACAATAATAATAATAATAATAATAATAATAATAATATTCCGAGCAACAACAATTATAGGCTCTTTGGTGAGCTTGAAGAGCTTTGTAACAATAATAACACTAACAACATTAATGTTGATCACGACAACGACGGCGATGATCATCAGAAGGGCTCTCTTCCTGATCAATGTGAACGTGATCATCATAACCTTGAGACTTGTTTGTCTCAAGGGGATGTTTGTGTTGATGATGGAAAGGAGGAAGAGGAGGAGGAAGACGACGAAAGGCAGAAGATTGAAGATGATGAAATAAGAGAAGATAATGACAAGAGTAATGATAATGATGAGGTGGTGGAAGATGAGCAGCAGCAGTCAGTAGACGATAGCGAGAAGACGGAGGAAAGTACAAAGAGAGTGATGAAGAAGAGGAAAAGACAGAAGAAATTTGAGATGTTTAAAGGGTTTTGTGAGAAGATTGTGAGTAAGATGATGGCACAACAAGAGGAGCTTCATTGTAAGATAATTCGCGATATGGTTAAGAGAGATGAGGAGAAGATTGCTAAGGAAGAAGCTTGGAAAAGGCAAGAGTTTGAGAGGTTAGAGAAGGAGTTAGATGCTAGGGCACACGAGCAGGCGGTTTCCGGTGACCGCCATACCAAGATCCTTGGCTTCTTGAACAAGTTTAGTACTTCATCATCAAGTTTTTTGGAAACTCAATCTTTTAAAGAGGCACTTGAGAAGCTTAATAAGGTACCAAAAATGACTTCGTCCAATTCCTCTATTTTAACTCAAGACTCTATTTGTGTGCAATTACAACCCAATTCATCTTGTACTACTCATACTCCTTTGGTGAATAACATCCCTAGTTCTTCATCAAATGAGAATCTTGCTCTAGACAACTCGAAATCGACACTTCCCTTGAAATCATCCTCCTTGGATCATCAAAACCCTAATAATCCTCTTCCTAGTCATCAGAATGAGCCTTTGAAAATCCCTTCTTTAGTTTCCTCTCGTAAATTCTCCAGCTCTGAACATACCAGCACTAATGCAGCGGACCACATTACAAACACTAAGGCCTTAGAGAACATCAAGAGTGGTAATAAGGATGACACCGGTAGAAGATGGCCAAGAGATGAAGTGCTAGCATTGATCAACATAAGGTGCAGCCTTTTCAACAACAATGGCGGTGAGACTCCCCATGATACAGAAACCTCCTCTAAGGGTCCTCTATGGGAAAGGATTTCGCAAAAGATGACCGAGTTAGGGTACAAAAGAAGTGCTAAGAGATGCAAAGAAAAATGGGAGAACATAAACAAGTACTTCAGGAAAACTAAGGACTTGAACAAGAAAAGGTCCGTTGACTCTAGAACTTGTCCTTACTACCACCAGCTTAGTCATTTATACAGTCAAGGATCACTAGTGGGCCCCGCGAACCACCCCGGCTCACCGGAAAATCGGTCCATGGCAATGTCAGGGCAGTCTCAAGGTAACGGGTCAAGTAATCCTCCAGCAAATAATGGTGCAACTAATAGTATGCAAGGTAATGAGGCCAATGTGGTCCAAGTACCAGGGTTTGATTTTGAATTTTGATATTTGAAATAGCAGTTTAAATTTGTATGTGTGTGCTGCTATATAATTTTGTACCTTATGTTATATGATGAACATTTACTAGCTATATAGATATGGCTAGCTGGCTATATGGTAGTAGTAAGATTTAATTAAATTTGGTGTCATTTTTGTTCATTTCCTATATATGCCCACCATAATAAATGTTGATGTAATATGGAGTACAAAAATGAATTAGGAATTAATAAACCATGCTCTTAATTAAACAGCTAATCCCTCCCGCTACCTAGCAAAGATGATCCACTAATTAGTTTTTATGGTGGCTTGAGAGAGAAATTTAGTCTATTAACTAATCCACATATTTATAAATTAAATTAAAGCATATAACAATAATTAATCTCGTTGTACATATGGCAAGTAGCTTAATTAGATGGTTAAATTAAAGTTTAGCTAGGTCAGGGTGATAACCTAGAGTTGAATCAATGCAAGTATCGTTTACATCTATTATTTGCCCTTTGTACCTATCTCTAGATTAATAAGAAAAAAAAAATTGTCTCCTTTTTCACGTTTACCTTAAAAAAAAGAGAAAATTGCATATTTTGTATTGAAATGGCTGGAGCACTAGAAGAGAGTTGTAGTACTAATTAAAGCTTGATCGATTAGTAGTGATTAAGATGGATTTAGGATTAAGATTAGGATTATTCGAGACATAATCATGTCATTCTACTTTAGAAGTATTATGTATGATTTATGATGTGAAATGAAGTCAACTTGAATAATTATATTTTATTAAAGATATGTTGAGTTTCTCAAATTGGTCGGAGAAATTAAGAATGTGGGGTAAAGAAGCAGCATGCAGCATATGCATGTGTGGGTGTGACTACTAGCCTAACTTCATTCAGAAGCAACGGGGTCACTTGATCAGGTCACTACAGTCTTCCTCTTTCAATTCATGTTTTTTCTCTTGAACTAGCCAGACTTTCACCTTTGATTAATTTTTCTGACATTGACCACCTATTGTCCAATCATGTAAACTTCTAAAACCATTTTATTCCATGCCCCCACCAACAATGCCACCTATCATGTGACCACCGACGGTGGTCAACTCCAGATAAATAAGTCAAAGACGAAAAGCCGGTGAATAGTTTTTACAATATTATTTGTTTTAATGGGTAGTTTCTTACAACGTTTTTATTCTAATATATACTTTCTTACAACATTTTTTTTTATTAGGTAGTGTCTCACAAATTTCTGACAAAAAGTCCATTAAATAACTTGATCTCAAGATCCTGGGTTCGAGGCTTCTTAGGTCTCACTAAATCTCCCCAAAATAATGCATACCACCTTAATTAATTATTGACACTCTCTAAAATAGGACTAAAGGACCTCAACAGGGACCATCGAACAAGGTACAACGACACATCCAAAAGTAAGAATAAAGGCGATATAGATCAATAGAGTGCATAGAATTCCAATTCACATTCAAAATGGAAGATAGAATAGTAAATGAAGAGAGTGTATGGAGTCCTTCCTATATAGCTTAGGAGTATGTCCTACAATAATGTCCTCTAGTGTAGAGGCTCCAGTGTATGTACGTGTGTTAAAAAGGTTAGAGCATACTCCAAATTACCATGCGTGCGTTTGGAACCTAATTGCAGAGTTGATGCTTATTGCTTTACGCCTTCATTCCCCTTTATTTTTTCAGAAGAATAGAATCACAATATTCTAATGTAGTAATTAATCAACCAAGATTAATTTAATTAATTACGTACATGCCTTGATCAATCACCTTGTTAGTCTCTAAACTCTATATGTTTGAAATAAGATATGATGAATTCAAGAACAAAAATTAAAATTTAAAGGTTAAAATAGTACAAATTATCAACTATGAAAGAAGAGGGAGACAAGCTAAGCATTAAAAATTTATATAGTTACAAAACAAATGTATTGTAGATGTCGATTATCTTAATTGGTCGATTTGGGATCAATTCACATCTTATTATTTGCCCTCGGTGGCTCTTTTAACACCAAAATAATAAGTTAAAAAAATCAAAATAATTAATTTAACCCCTAAAGTAAGTCTTTATTGGATGGACTTCTTTTAAAAATGTAGGGCCCTGTTCTTTTGAGCTACTACTACTACTACTGCTGCTGCTGCTGCTACCACTGCTACTACCACTACTACTACCACTACTACCACTACTACTACTACCACTACTACTACTACTACTACTACCACTACTACTACTACTACTATTAATATTAATTGCTTTTATAAAAATCAATTATTGTTATTATAATTAATATTATTAGTTATAAGTATTATTATTACTATTAGTATAATTACTATTATTATTAAATATTAATTATTATTGTTATTATTATTATTATTATTATTATTGTTATTGATAATTATTAATAATTTATTATATTATTATTGTTAAATATTAATAATTATTTATTTTTTTTATTATTAAATATCAATAATTAATTATTGTTATTATTATTATTAAGTATTAATTATTATTATAATTAAATATTAATTATTTATTATTATTAAATATTAATTATCTATTATTATTATTATTATAAAATATTAATTATTATTAAATATTAATTATTAATCATTTATTATTATTATTATTAAATATTAATTATTACTATAATAATTTAATATTAAGTATTAATTTTAAGTAGAGCAGAGCAGAGCAGGGCAGAGCAGAGCAGATTGAAGCAGAGTAGAGCAGATTTCAGCAGAGGAGAGCAGAGCAGAGCAAAGCAGATTTCAGCAGATCAGAGCATAGCAGAGCAAAGCAGCTCTAAAGAACGGGGATTATGATATAAAAAGTGGTTTTACCTTAGCAAATAAATTAAACACACAATTACTATATTAGGCATATATAAGACAACTTTAAACTATAAATATAAGTAAACAAAAATATAAGTAAACATTATTAGATTTATAGGAAAAAAACAGGCCTTGAGCATGTGTAAAAAGTTGGAGAATAAGTGAGTCACTATGTACATACGCCATTGTCAATTGATTTATTTGGCATGGAATCTCACATGAATTTGTAAATATATTCATTTTATTTGGATGCTTGTATACAAATATCCTCAACAATACAATTTTCAAAGTCTGTTTTTAGGCCTTACGTCAATAAGTGAGAAAAAAAGTTGGTACTTTTAATAATGTGAATAAGATAACCCTTCCAAAAGAAAGAAAATGAGTAGGATAGTTATTAATTACACGAAGAAAGAATTGGCTTTTTATTATTATCTAATTATATCATTGCCAATTGGTTTTTGGTGAGGTTAGTTGGACTAATCCTTTAGTCATTAATTCATTATGAGTTGTTCGTATCTACAATATAATAACTTTTAAATTTTTAGACCATCATCGTGAAATAGAAGTAGTAATAGATTGATAGTGTGTTCATTATGTTAGCATGTATCAATCTTATAATAAAACATACAATGTAATATAACTTGATTAATACAAGTATTAAATAGCATTATTCTTATCGAATTTTTTTATTATGCCAATCCCCATCTGAAAATAAAATCCCAAGTATTAACATTTCACTTTGTACGAAATGTTTGGTAATTGAGTGTATAACTTAAAATAGCTCAACATGGATCTATTTAATTTGATAATTCAACCTAATACTACTTTGTGTTATTGGGCCGAATTAAAAACTATGACCATTTGATTTTATTTTAATGTAGAATAGAATCATCATCAAAAAAAAAAAAATTGACGAGGAATAATCATCAAAATTAAATAATCTATGTGGTTAAAAATAAATAAAAAATAAAAAACCAATTAATACGTAAAGTCATTGAAAAAAAAAATCAATCTAATAATCGTTCTCCAAAATAACAAGCACTTGTATATTTCATACAAAAAAAAAATATTGCATTATTAGTTTTTATGTTGGTTATAAAATAAATATCATTGTCTTAGAAAACTTAAATAATGAGATATTAACCCATAATGTAGATATACTGATAGCCAAATGATAACGACCAATGAACATTATATTATATCTGTTCCATCTTTGATTACTGCTCGACTGGTTTTTTCCACATGCTCACATCCAAGATATTATGATAATATGATTGATTCTTTATTATTTTTACTTAACCTTCTTGAATACTCTTTTTCATGTGTTCATATTCAATTCGATCACAGTCATCAACAACAATATACTACGTAGCACTTCAGATTTTTTTGTCCGAATGAGGCACACATTATAAATTACATTTGGGAGGAAGGAATTTAATCATGTGGCTTATTGTTCACATATCATCAATTTTCGCCATTTAAGTCAAAATTACATAATGGTACTGTAAGTAGGTAATTGTGTGCTTAACTATACTCGGTACGTACTCATATTAGAATTTTAGAAAATTAGTGTAACGCTTTGTTTTAAAGCATGCAGTTTAAGAATCATATCTAGCTAAGCATATGATATGAGATTTAAATTCCTTTTAATTCTTCCAATACTATAGAGGATTGTTATTATTCACATATATGTATAAAAAAAAAATTGAGATGCAAGAACTATATGTATGTACTAAAATAAAAATGAGAAGTGAAGATGAATAATAGAAATTTCCCTATTTTGGCATGTAATGAATGGATAATAGAAGTTGCAAAATATAGTGACAACACAAAGCATGTATGCTTGCTGTTAAACAACTCGGGTTGAGTACTTGGGTTAGAAATGTGGGTCCCACCACATGAGATAAATAAATCACAAAACATAAAATGTTTTCAAAAAAAATTACAAAACATAAAATAATTATTTTTTTAAAAAAGGAAGTATAATGCATAAAGCCCAAAAATTCGAAAGGCCCTTTTCTTAGTTACAAAAATGGGCCCACAAAGATATTAAAAATAAGTGCAAAAGAGAGGGTATGGTGTGGGCCCAATTATTGTTAGCTAGCTAATGCTGCCATGCATTAACGTCACATGTGACGGGTCCAGTATTCTGGTACAAATTTGGGCCTCTCTTGTCTTTCTTCGAACTTAGAACCGAATAGACTGGCCCACTTTGGGCCCACCTCGTTGCATTAATCTTGCAAAGTCAAACATGTGGCAACATTTTTTAGTTTGCCGTTTGTTTTTGGACTTTTGGGTGAGAGAATGAG